GTGGTTTCTGGTACCCTTTTCTTTCTATCTAACATGTTTCTCTTCGTTTAGACATTTTTAAACAAAACAGCTGGTCATGTCTTAGGGGGGGTTGATTTTCATAGATACTTTATGTAACAAAATTAAGTTAAATGTGTTTAAATTTTATCATGTAAAACATTTCTCGCCCTTGTTGATTTTACAAACTAGAAGCTTTAGGTGGATTTAGAGTTTTGTGATGAATGATTTATCTTTGCAGTCTGTAGTCATGCGGAAATACTACGGTGCCTTGGAACTCTGAAATCCTACATGCCATCCGACACATGACTCTGTTCACTTTGACTCCCTCAACTGTGTTCTTAAGTGAGCGGAGCAATTTTCCAGCCTCACATCATTTCCCCCCTCACAATCAGGCTGAGGACATTTTATGTTTACAGCTTGCAGAATCAGCAGAGCATTTCAGATAATTAAAATTCAGCGTGCTTTGATGAGGTGGTCCACCCTTGATTTCCCACAGTACCTTGCTTTCAAGGGCACAATTTCCATTTCAGCATGTTATTTCGAAAATGTCAACTTTTGTTGAGGCCTTTCGACCTTTTTTGAAGCACTTGTGGTCATTGCATAAAGGGCAGGAAGCCACTTTTGTCTCTTATATCTCGGAGCAATGCACTGAATTAATCAGCCCTAAAATACAGAGTTATATCTTATTTTTTGCATCTAAAACGAAGCAGAAATGAATCAGAAACAAGAAACATATGGTATCCTCTGTTTTTGTTACAGTAACTCCAGATTTTTAAACATCCAATGTCAAACATCTGATCTATTTCTAATCAAAGTTTTAATCTATTAAAGGGTCCTGAAAGCTGCTGTTTTACAATAGCAGCAGTAACATTTTGTTTAGCACATGGCCACTTTGCACATCCAAATATAGAGCCATCTACAGATGTAATTTTTCAGAATTTGATAATAATTGTAGAGCATATATTTTCTTTGCATGAAAACGTACAAGGTTCTAATTTAAGCTCAAAATGCTGAATTGCATTTTGAAAAAATAAGACTTAGAAAGAACAGCCTCTTTATGTGAAGCTACTATTGTATGAGTGCTGAGGTTACATGAAGTTGTGTTTTAGTTCTATTTAATCTTTGTTGAAAACCACATTTAAACAAATTTGCAAACATGTCCATACCCCTTTAAATGTACTGTATCCCCTCATCCATATTAAAATCACACATTTAAATGTATATTTATTAGTTTATAGTTGTATTAGTGCATTAGTCAAATTACAAACATAAATAAATGAATAAATAAATAAATAGGAATTTATTTCAGAAAATTTTGACAAACAACAATAAACAATAAAATATTTAACGCATCAATGCATTTATGGTTGTCTGACTTTTACAGTATGTCTGTACATTTTTTACTTTTAGAGACTGAGATATGGAAGATGTCTTAATACCAACCAGAGTGAACTGCTTACAGTGTTGAAATGAAAATGGAAACATCATCAAAGTATTTAGATATCATTATCAATTAGACTTTGTGTTTTACTACTTAAAAATTAATGAATTTCCTTAAGTGGAAACTTATTTTTTTTATTATTCATTTAAGGGATGTAGCCTATTTCTCAACCTTTGTTTCTGTAACCTTTTTGCCTTTTGATTATGGTAGTCTCCTCTTTGTTAATGCACCTGATCAATACCTAAAAAGGCTGGATATTGTCTACTGTCAAGCTGTGGGTTTTATTGCTAGCTTTGGGAATTGTCTTCAATCAATATCTGTTGGCAGCTTAATAAATGGTCCTCCTGGTGGGATTTTTCTGTTGGCTGGTTTTTATATATAGAGTTGAAACCAGATATTTACATTCTCTATAAAAAAAAAAATGAAAAAAAAAAAAGGCAAACCAGCCAGTCAGGATTTCACGTTCCATCCATTCAGTTTTAGGAAAAAGGGATTTTTTTTTTTGTTTGTTTGTTTTTTGGCAAACTGCTTTTGACTTCCTATGAATTCATGAATAACCTTGGGATTCGGTAGAACTGCTTTTCATTCTAAATGAAAAGAGTGGCTTGTTTAAATTTTTTTGGTGTATTTGGTCATGTTTTTGGAGGATAGTTATGTTTGTGTGTCTTATTGTTCCTGTTTTTTTTTTACTGTTTGTTTTCTTCAATATAAATATTAAGGAAAATGATATTAGAGGGGTTTTTTTTAATAAATGCAATACAGTGTGCTTAAAATTTTAAGAGAAACTGAGGGTCTGGGAATGTTTGGTCATGACAGCACAATCTTGCACAGATAAGTGTATAAACTTATGGGATATACAGAAACAATTTTTCTCTCATTGGTGCCCCTAAACAAGTTTTGGATGTTCTACCTGATCACTATGTGCGTTTTTGTTCAGTTTTATATTTACATGAGCAAGGTCTTTGGAAATGAGCCAAGGGGACCTGCTTTTTTCAAGAGTGCCAGCAACATTAAGAACTGGTCATCCTAGATATATACAAGAAAAGCACCTAGAGCCAAATCTAACACCTTTTTCTGTGTTAATGGAGAATTTGGCAACATAAAAGCATGGAACTCTGTCCTTCTGCGTGACACGATCAGAAGCCTGCCTCTCCCTCACTTTCTTTCTCACTATCCGCTGTCGTCATGCAGGGCAGGCTGCTTGTGCTGCAGCAGAGAGAGTACACTTTTCCTCTTAAGATCCAAATTGCAATTGAAATGTGAATGTACTGCTAATCCCGCCCTAGATTGCAAATTAAATAATGAAAATAATTTCTAACTGACGCAGTTGTCTCACATAAAATAACTGCATTTTCAAGCTACAGCCTCATTCTCTCCCCTTTTGCTCCTCCAGTTTGCGTGTGTCTTTGCACTGCTGCTACTTTCTTCATCATATTTTTTTTCATTTGTTTATTTTGCATAAATGCAACTAATAGTTCATTTATGTAACCAATACCTATGGAGTGTCGAACTAAATTGCTGAATTATATGTATTTTTCTTTTTTTGTTTTTGTAAAAGTCATCTCTGTAAAAGTACATCTCTTCCTCCCTGCTATCCTGTCTACCTGCTCTGCTTTGACAGACAGAAAAAAATTGGAGGGATTCAGAATCTACTGCAGCTGGAAGACATGACGTATGCAAATTAGGCAATGCCGTCATCTAGCTCCTTCTAGTTCCTTTTAGGACAGCGAATAGTAATTTGACAACACTTAATATATGTAACCTACACAAAATTTTAACTAGCTTACCATAAGAAGAAGGTCGGTTGATGGTTTAATGTACATCGACTTTGACTTGAATATCTTATAAATCGTAAACCCATTCAGTTCTTGGCCTTCACACAACTTTGGTTAAACAAGTTTGCTTCCACACTAGCAAGAGAATTCAAAAACGTGATGACTATATCCTAAATTTTGTGACTTACTTAACTTTTTAACTGAACTGAATGCATTGTTTAAACATTCCAAAAATAAATAATACCTGATATCCTGGGGTATTTTGCTTAAAGGCTTCCTTTATCTCAGCAATGACTGTCCTGCAGTCCCAGGACTTGTTCATTTCAAAAGCACTCAAAATGTATCCAGTTTCATTGAGCCTTTTATTGTTGTTTTTTTGTTGTTGTTTTTTTATTTGCATATTTTCTTCCATTGTGAGTTTGATAAAAGTATGACATCCCTGTGTAAAGTGGGAAGATATATGATTATGGTCCTTAAATGAAAGCAATTATAAATGTAGAAAGAAAAAAAATTCCTTACAGTAAACTTATAAAAAAAGATTTTTAAAAGCATTTAAATGAATTGAAAACCTTATTACAATGTATGCTCTTTAAAGACAAGAGAAAGAAAAAAGCAGTAGTTATAAATAACACAACTACCAAAGTATTTATCATTTAGTGCTCACATTTATTGAAATCCGCTCTGATATTTAAGATACAGTTCTAGTTTAGATAGATGTCTAATCAAAAGTAATTTGTCATTCTATATTTTCTGTTGAAAGCCTTGATATAAAAGGTCTATAATTAAATATGAATGCATTTAAGATGACATTTAGACAGAGATTTACTTTGTTGATGAACTTCTCAAGTGCTATTTGTAAGAAAACAAACTTATTTTCAATTTAAAACTCCCAGCATACTGTATGCACTTAACTAGGGTTACAACATGGCAAAAACCAACAATTAAACACCCAAATATGACCCTTTTATAAAGTGCAATTCACGGCAGCACAAAGACTGAGAATAAATGTAACAACGATTTGACAGGAGTATGTCAATTGTTTTTTGTTTATTTTATTTCAAATCCGTTTTTGCAATTATGCACCTTCTATCCAACTCCTTTTAGCATTGGTTGGAATGTCAATATCTGTTAAAAGTGAACATACTGTAACAGCTGCATTTTTTTCCCCTAATTTTCATCTTGTATGCAAACAGCACTATCCAAATGTTCTCTGTTAACTTTTAAAAATATTAATCAGAAAATAACCTTTTTTGTATCCATTATCAATATTGAAGGGGAAAAACTAAATGCTAAAGATACAGAGGAATCTCTACCTGTGAATGCCCTGACATCAACAATGCTGCCTCCTGATCAAACCTAATCTAATACTCATTTTTTATTCATGCAAAAAAACATAATTTTCACATTCTCTATCAAACTCTTTTACATTTACCAGTATTTTCATTCTGTTGTTCATTCTTATTTTTTGGATCTATAAAATAAATGATTAAAAAGTGAATAGTTATTTGAGATTTTATGTAGGCATGTAAGAGAAATTGAAAATGTTGTCCCATGGGGGCTCTCATATTAATCAGCTTCCTTCCACAGGATAACACATCCACCTCAGTGTTTCATAGCAGAAGTGATATCTCTCAAAGTGATTAGCTTTTGTTGTTGTACTGTATGTTCTTCCTACTTTGCAAAAAGGTCATTCTTAAAAACATTTTAGTCACAAGATTAAAAATGTAAAGATAGATAACTGGTGAATTATTAATATAGTAGTAATTTTTTTTTTGTAACCACAGGATCTCCATTCTGGACAATGGCAGCCTTCGGATTTGGAATGTGACGAAATTGGACGCTGGTCTCTACACCTGTGTTGCAAGAAACCAGTTTGGAGTAGCAAGCAGCACAGGAAGCGTTACAGTTAAAGGTATTTTCATGTTCCTTCCTTTACATTTGAACAATGTCTGTTATGCAGCTCATTCAACAGGGAACCTGACCTGCAAAACAGAATATATTTGTTCAAAGTGCATCTTTTTTCACCCTGGTAGCAAGCAGACTGGGACCAGGTTCTGTTTGGCTCTTCAAAAAAACTAAACTGAGGTGTTTGAGACCATAAATAAATGAGCAGAGCAGAAAAGTAAGGCAGACTTTTCTGATGCGTCCAGCAGTCTCTATCTCGCTGCCCTCTGATAAGGCGCACAGGGAAAAGGGCTTTTTCCTTTCGCTGTGACTGGTGAGACAGAGATGCATCGGCTGCTGTTTGTGTTTGCAGAGATGCTGAAGCGGTTCAGCTCAGTGCCTCCAGCGCTGTCAGGCAATACGCAGTGCAAAAAGTCGTTGTGCTGTTTGATCATCTGGGTGGCAGATTGTGTTTCTGCCCTGGTGTTATGACTTGTTATACTTTATTAAAAATGAATGCGAGCCAGGTATAAAGTGCAGTGCATTCAGCAGCTTTATGCCGTGCATTCGGCTGGTCGTCCTGTCCTATTTCCACAGGGAATGGTGTTCTCGCCACCTAGGCTCCCCGGGGGACTTGCTGACTTACTCACTGAACTATACCCTCACTGTGACCCTATTTGCACGGTTCACTTGTGTTATTGGGATTTCTTCTACACTGACCTTCCTTGTTGGCGGACTTGAGGAGATTTATGGAAGTATTGATCTTCACTATATTGGCCTCAGAAGGGAATGACAATGGCTTACATTACATTCAGAAATGGTTTCACATACATTTTTATCAGTTTGATAATAACAATTTACAATCATTTTGAATATTATTAAAATGTAATGCGTTGCATTAATTAAATTAATACATGACACATTTATTTACCAAGATTACAAATTTATGTATGTAAAGCATTCATTACTCCTTATTTTGACAGAGTTTAGAGATTACAAAACTCAAGATTTTTCTTTGTAGAACATTTGAATAATATTTAAGGCCAACTAAAAAGTATTTTGAACACAGAAATATATATTTAGGTGGCTAACACTTGAGAAGGCAGCCAGAAGTGAGAAAGGCTACCTATTATGTGATGAAACTTTTTTTTTTAAACTGAGAGAAAGTCCCTTTGCCTCTGTCAATGGTTGTTGTGAGCAGGGTTGCATAGAGCTTGCAGCTATGCTTAATACCACTTTTAATGCATTTTAATGTTTTGTTTCTCTGGTAACGTAAATATGGATACAGCAATTTGGTTCTTCCACTTAACATTTCATTAATAAAATTGGATACAGCATCCTATAATCAAGCAGGTTCTTTAGCGGTGACCTATTGTGGCCCAATCTCCCTGTTCAATCATCTGTCTCCTATTATTGCTATAATTAGTGCATTTCTAAACTTAAAAATTCTTTTTTTTTCTCAGTTTTACTTTCTTGTATAATATTTTTAGAAAGTGAATTGGAGCATGTACTGTAGGAGATGTGAAGAGAAAGCCTCTGAGGAGGTTCAGGCTCGGCAAATTCTGTCTCCCCCTCTTTATCGTCCACCTGAGAATGACCATGGCTGAGCATAACTGCTCGCTAACATCAGGCTGGCATTGATTCTCGACCTGTTTGGAAAGGATTTACACAAGTTTGAGAAATAAATCTCCTGAAATGGTACCAAATAACAACCCCTTGATTGTATGCTTAAAAATGATGTAAGTTTTCCATCACTCTGAAGTGAAATGTTTGGTTTTTTTCTATAAAGTCAGTGCTTTCTTTTTTATCAGGTTCTTTATTTTTGTTCTAAGGTTTCGTACATATATTCGTCTTTCTTTTGCAGTCTATAAAATCCTGTAAAATACATCGTCAATACTGCTGCAACTTGCTAAAAAAGAATACATTTTTTTCCCCCAATTATCTACGTAGTTTCTATAAAAATGATTTTAATTTGCTTCCTTTCTCTTACAAGCAAGAATTTGATTGAATTTTGAGGAAGGTCTATAATAATGTTGATTTGAGTTACGACAGGATGAATATTCCACTCTTTATCTCTACATAAGTTCACTTTTTACTCAAAAGAGCATCACATGATGGAATTTTAAATAGTCCAGATTAACACTTTTTTTGCAAATCGCTATTAACGCATGTTTCTGTTTTTTGTTGAATTATAAGTCAGATTTCATTCATTATAGATGAGTAGAAGTTGGAGGGTTGGGAGCACTCAGTGTAGCATCTCATAGTTTTTATGCATTTTAACACACATTTTCTCCAGCCTTCCGACAATTAATTAAATTAACAATGTAGAAATGGATATGTGTTCCCATGCGTGTTTGGCTGAAATAATTAAAGCTAAGAGACTTTGAAGAGCTCCAGGCCCCAGTCTGCTATCTAAAGCCTCAACTTTGGAATTTTACATGATGGAGTGAAAGAAATTCACTGTTAACAGTAATAGCATAGCATAGTATGGATTGTTTTATCGTATTTCAAATTAAAAAATCTGATAAGTGTGGCATGCATTAATATTTAGGGATATTTGGATCTGTAACCCCCACATTCTACATCCTCTGTAACTTCTCAGCTTAGTTCCAGACCGCCTATATGAAGCAACGCCCACAGCTTCCACTGTTACTCCCATTTTACTTCACTATGATTTCCTTGACCAGACCATGTGTGATATTATATTATCCATTTTTCATCATGCTAATCCCTGCTGCGGCCATGAGAGGTCCTGGTGCACCAATCTGTTCTTACCCCATTTTACTTTCACACACCAAATGTTGTTAACAGTCATTTTTACATATGATACCATTACACCTGCAGAGGTTGACCTGATTGCAAAGGCCTGGAACTTGAGCAATTTGATGGTGAAGCAAGGAGAGGTACCTGGTAGGTGACGTTTGGAAGAGTCACTGAGAATGTGGGATGGTCCACACTCAGGTGTACATGGGTGGAAGGGAGAGGTTGCAGAGGATGTGGAATGTGGGGGTAACTGGCAGCTGGTTAAGGAATGTTTCATTGTGGAAAGTGAACTTTCAATCCAACTTTAAGGCAGTTGCTCTTATGGAATTGCTCCAACAATCTCACCTTCAACTGCACCTACCTTAGGATTCCCACTGCATGATGCTGCCAAAACGTTTTTCTACATGTTTACTGCATGTTCTACAGTACATAGCTGGTACAGCAGTAGTCTTTGGCTTTCTTTTAACAAGAATCAACCACCTTTGCTGCAGTATCAGGTGGATAGCCGGTGTTTAATTTTGTAATCCAGCTAAACACAAAATCAGCGTCTGTCTTCTTAGCGCAGACATTCAGCCCGGTTATCCGCTCATTATTCTTGTAAAATATGTCTCACCCTCGCCCACTTCCTTCCTGTCATCATATGATAAAGCTACTTTCTGCTGGCAATGTACAAATATTCCTTTATATGATCTCTCGCCTCTCTGTCACAACTCATATTGTTTGCATGATAGGATGGGGTAATTTGTATGCGCCACTTCATTGAAGATCGCAAACCTGTTTAGCAGGGAGGAATTTGTGTAGCAGGATCAGCCCTTATGGGAAATGACAGTAGTTTATTCAAATTGACTTTGGTGATATGAATGCTGGAGGGGGAAAGAAAAGAGGTGTCGAATAGCGTTCAGTGTCTTCTTGTTTTGAATTAAGCCACCTAGCAAATCAGCGGAGGGGCAGATGAGCCCTGTTAATGTTGCCATTATTCTGACACTAGGGGGATATTAGCAGATTAATTGCACTTGATTATTGATGTGCTCCCTGAATTTTGATTACACTAGGGATGAGCTGTTGCAATTATGATGGCAGTCGTTCGTCACATATGGCCATTGAAGTTAAAAAAGTTGTGAGATTGCATCACATTTGCTTCTGTGTTCTCCTCTAGACCGTGAAGGCAATTAATCTTTGCATCACTGTGACACATTGTGTTTGCTGCTTACTTCAGAGAATATTCAGTCAGTGTCGTGCACCAGGTCTTTGTTGCAGTAGTCATATGGTTCCACAAAACTCTATTTTGCTTTATCTCCACATCAGTTACTTCCAGCACCACCATGAGGTTTATATACAGTGTTTTAAGTCTGAAGTGCAAAGACATTCTGCATACATATTTATGTTTCCTTTCAGGAGGAATTTGAATACCCATGTTGATCCTTTTCCATCTCATCCAGTGCCATGATTAGGTCAAATCTTTAATTTCTGATAAGTATATGGCCAATTAACTTCAAACAGTGCTGTTCTTGCCACCAGGCAAACTGGAAAAGCGCTCCTGTGGGTGGCAGGCATTGGGTCAGTGGGTTGTCATTAGCTTTTTTAACCAGCTGTATGCCTGTCCATGTTATTTTCCTCTATGAAAGAATGCCTGTCAAAGTGTATTTGGTAGAACTCACAGAATGCTAAGAATACAAAAAGTCCATCCACATATACTGACTTAAGACCGAGAATGCCCACTGTCTGACTGTCTGTTTAACCAAGAGGAACCAATTTTTATTTTCATTTTAATGAGCCACGTTAAACACCACTGAGTTTGGAGCTGAATCACTGGCATGGAGACAAAATTGTAGAGAAAACTGGATCAAGTATGAATGCATGAGTCAGCTAGCCCGCCTCAATCAGATGGTTATATGTAATCTAGTACCTATATCAATGGGTAGATGTAATGTGGAAAGATTTGGGAAAAAGTTAACAAATTTCACATTCCCCAACAAGGTACATCTTGTTGCATTTTAAACCTTTTGCACAATTTGGCAGAAGAGTTAGGGTTTGGGTCAGTTGCTTCTCTTAATAGACCGTATCTTTGTTTAACCAGTCCAAGAGAAAGTGTGGTGTGTATTTGGAATTATTGTCCTAGTTCTATCCAATTTTCAACAATGTAGCTGTTGAATTGAGATAGAGATAAATAATTGAGTGGTACTCCTGTATGAATTATCAACACTGGCATTTCCTCAGCATGACAAATGGAAAGAAAGACCCTTCGAATGCTCCTACCAACATGCT